ATTTATTTATTTAAATACGAAAGGTATATAGAAAAATAATTATTTTCATTAAGTATTCTTGCCATAATTTTTTTTAGTTAAAATTTGATTTTGGAAATGCATTAATTAAAGTAAAAAGACAAAGAATCCTATAATGTAGGATAATTAATAATTTCAGTGACATAACATTGTAAATAGTTAAAAAAATTCAGGGGTATTTTATATGGGTACTTCTCTTTTAATAATATAGATGTGTCATCTTGTTAGTGGTGTATTATTTTGATAACATAAAATTTAATTCATTTTGTTAAAAAAAACAATATATTAAAGTGAGAAGCATAGTTGAGAATTTCAGACACTGCTAATGCTCTTATAGTTTTGATGTCTTTAAATTTTTAATATCATTTGATCCTAAAGCAACAATTTTCTAGTTTTAGATATTGCGTTTGAGTTGAACAAAAAAAAAAAAGATATTGCGTTTGAGTGAATTATGTCAGTTGCCGAAATTTCAAATTTGACTAGAAAAGCGACCTTGTAAGATTTCTAGACTGCTCACTGCTGATGAAGAATGTGAATAGAAAAGAAAACAAGGTGAAAAGAATAAATGGAAGCTGCCCCAAAAGGGGCAAGACGCCAGATTAGCAGATACTAGCGAAGCTTTTTTTTTTTTTTTGCTTTTGCTCAGCACTGAATTAGAATATACAATTATGTAATGAATCGTGCAACTGATATGGACATTTCTGAAGCTACGTCATATTCTGAGATAATATATAAAATCCACAAAATCTTTAACTCTGAATTATTGACTGACAGAGACAGCGACAACCACTCTCCCATCGCTTTTCCATTAAAGAAGCTCATCTCGACATCTTTTCCATTAAAATGTCAATGTTTTATGCTAATTAAATGGTTAAAATCCTCTATAAACGGTTTTGTTTAACATGTTCAATTTATTAAAAAGGTTGCAAAAATTTAATCAAATATATAAAATTAACATAACCGAGACAATATAGATTACTCCGGACGGATTAGTGTTTAAGTCCAATGAATCATTGGTATTAACCCCCAAAAATTTTAGATGTCTTCTATAGACGTGGATTCTAAAATTATGGAAAAACAATTTTTATAAACCCCTTATATACTAAAACTCAAGTTGCCTAACTAATAAAAATCTGACACATGGAAAAATTTTAAAATACTTAAAACACTATTAATACAAAATTATCTTTCTAAAACATCTCAATTTAAATTCCAGAGTTTCCAATAACCTCCAAATACCTTCTACATTCCTAAATTTTCTCTCATCATAATAGCCACGTTCAAAAACATGCTCACGATTTAAGACTCCATAACTTGTCCATCTTTCTTTCTTTCTGCATTGCATATATATTTTTTTGTATTTCTCTTTCAGTTCAGATCTTCGACTGATGCAAGAAAACCCATACAAGTAAATATTCTTTTATTAGTTATTTCAGGTTCAAAATGGTGTCTTAGTAGTTAGCCTACTCATGTTTTAAACATTGCCAACAACCAAAATAACAATAAGTATCTGTAACTCTATTATTTATAAATTTGGTATTTAGTAATCTGTTCTTATTATGGCCTATTTTAGAAAACGACTTGCCTTGCTTGCATCAAAAAAAAAAACGAAACAGAGAGGCAAAAAACAAAAGAAAAACTAGATTTTAACAAGAACGAAGTGTTTGGCCAATATATGATCAAGCAAAAGATTAACAGAAATTGCATTGTATAACTACTAAAAAACGAGGAGCCTTTTCTGAAAACAAGTGTATACTTCTTTATTTTCTGAATAATTATATCTTACTCTCTACAAAAATATATTTTGTTTTTGTAGCCGCGAACAAATCTTATCCAGTGGCTAAATAATGATGTGATGCAAATTTAATATTTACAGCAAAAAATGTGGAAAATACTCTATTGAGGGAGAAAGGTATACTAATGATGATGCAAATTGAGTATTTACAAATTTGTTTGGTATAGTTTAACAACTTCATAAATCTGTTTGTTATAACACATACTATCTAATGAATTTTTGACATAAAAATATATCTTTTATGTACATGATTAATAATATTTTAATCTGTTAATTTTATAGAGATTTATAGTTCAGAAGGGTCATTAAAAACATATAGATATAAAACTCAATAGATTAAATATAAGATCTTAAATGTAAGCAAAAACTGACCCAGATAATACTAGTAACCTTATATTCTCATATCCGATTTACTACTCAATAAATTAATAAAGATTTAACTGTAGTTTGAGTATCTTGGTTTAACAATAAACACTGTTTATACAATTTTAATAATTTTATGTTAGATAAAAGTTTTTAATATATATATATATATAATTTTAAATAAGATAATAAACTAAAAATATCCAAATCTTATAAATTTAGTTAAAGTAATAAAATATATATATTATCAACTACTTTCTTTCATCATGAAGATTATCATTTACATGGATTTTATGGTATATTTAAAAAGTCTTCAAGTTAATAAATGTTTTAACAATATAGATATTGATGCTAGAGATATCCTGCAGTTAACAACAACTGAATCTTTACTCTGAATTAAGCACATGCTTCCCTCACGCAAATGATCACCTACTCGGAGAAGCAAGAGGTGACAAGCTTTACCTCCCATTCTAGGAAGATGATGTTTTATAAAAAGTATATAGAAATAATAACAGGATAATTATTTGGGACAATGTTAGCTTAGCCAATTAGAAAGTTCTAATGGATTGATAGAGACAAAAAATATGAGAGTTACTTTTTTCATCCCTTAGAAGCACTCCTTTGGATAATGGAACGCATGAGAAATTTATAATAGTTTCACGTCACATTTACAACAGATTATTATCAATTAGTGAAGATTTGAGAAATTTATATCACATCTCATTTACAACAGGTTATCTCAATTAGTGAAGATAGTTTTGGAACCAAGAGAATGATCAGTTTTTGTAAGTTATTTGGACGATATGAAGACCCTTAAGAAAATTTTAACCATTCAAAAATCATTTACATATCTGCGAATGTAGAATACAAGGACGGATGGTTTCGTATGCAGTACCAGTAAGTATCGTCGTTTGTTATTCATATGGGTACATAATTATCGATTTGGTTTGTAAAATTTTAGTTGCATCTATTTATATTGATGACAAAAAAATATTATTAACTAAAACTTTTATTAAAGCTATTTTAACTAATGTTTAAATCAAACTGATTGGATCTAAACTTAATACTAGAAAGTTTCTCATTCTTTTTGTCTGTAATGTAGAGTCAGAGTCGGTCCTAGAATTGTAAAGACTAGAAGAAAAAAGAAAAATGTGGCCACTTTTAAAAGGAAAAAAGAAAAGAAAAAAAAGTGTAGTCACCACAAAACGAACAACACATTTTAAAGGAGGTGTGGATACTCTAAAACTACCACTACACTACAAAATTTTTTTGTAAAATGTGGCCGAAAGTTTTTTTTAAAATGCACGGCCGCAAGCGTTCGCTTCTTTTGCTCCTGTCACGGGCCGGCACCGTGTAGAGTTATTGCTAAGTTAGATTTAATATCACTTCCTTTTTTCTTCGGATCCGGACAACCATTTTAAGTTTTTTTTTTCCTTGCATTTTATAAGTATATTTGAATTGTGTGGTCGTCGACATGCTAAATTATAGAATATCACGTGGAGTAAGTAATGTCAGAAGGTGTTTTAATTAAGCTTTCATGGGATATATTTTTTCAATCAACTATTCCCACCGGTCCAAAATGATGTATTTTTTAGAGTTTTCATATATATAATAAAACCTCTATAAATTAATATTGGATAAACTAATAATTTCTTAAATTAATAAATTTATTCGATTCCAATTTGAGTCGGTTCAAAAATTTAAAATAAGATAATGATTTTAAAAAAAATTATATATAAATATATGGTTTTATTAAAATTATAAATTAATATTTTTTACGTATATATTTTACATAAGTGAAAACATATTATTATATTGTTTGTTTTATATTCATAATGGAATTATCTTTGTATTTTCTTAATACCTTAATATATTTTTGATGAGATTTAGTAATATATATCTAATATCACATTTAAATTTTATGTAATATATATATTATATACACCAAATAATATAATATAAGTAATATAAATGTTAAATTTCAATAAAGAATAATTAATGTTTATACATTAAAATCAAATATTTTTTAAACTTAGAAGAAATATATCTTGTTGTCCAAAAGAAGAATAATATATCTTAAAATACAAAAAAAAAATCTCCAAACAAGAATTTTTTTGTAAATTAATATCTCTGTAAATTAATAAAATTTCAAAGTCCCAACATTATTAATTTATAGAGGTTTTATTGTATTAAGAAAACATGTAAATAAATATATATATTTGTGTGATAGATATTTCCTATAACTTTAACCAATCAAAATTCAATAAACACAATTATGTTTTCATAATTTAAAATTTTCTATTATTATATACATTGTAAATGTGAAATATATATATATATCTTTTTGAAATAATTTTTTTCTAAACTATAAATTATATTGAAGATGAATTATTAATTAAGGAACTAGATTAATTTTAACGGTCCTGTAACTTCCTGTTTTCTTCGGATCGGACAACCATTTTAAGTATATTTGAATTGTGTGGTCGACATGCTAAATATAGAATATCACGTGGAGTAAGTATGTCAGATAGTGTTTTAATTAAGCTTTAATTAGGCTATTATGGAAGTTTGGTACAAAATGCGGTATGGGGAAAGATTTTTTCAATTATTAAAGAAACTTAAAGAACTAGAGTAACTTTAACGGCTGAGTTTCGGAAGGAATGGTAGATATTACAGCATGTGTATCAATGCATGAATCTTATCTTTCTTTATAACAAGATAAGATTCAATAATTCATCATGCCTGAAATCTTGCATTATTTAGTGGTCTAAAAAGGACTATAAAGATGGAGTAACGCAGACGAAAACAAAACTCGTATCTCCCAATGGTTTCACCACTGAAGAAGCTCATCTCAAGCTTTCTACTCATCTTTTTCTCCACCATTATCGTCGCTTCATCAGAACCATTGTGTAGCCGTTACAAATCTATCATCAGCTTCGGTGATTCCATAGCTGACACCGGAAACTATCTCCATCTCTCCGACGTCGACCATCCTCCTCAAGCCGCCTTTTTTCCTTATGGAGAAACCTTCTTCCATGTTCCCACCGGTCGTAACTCCGACGGCCGCCTCATCATCGATTTCATCGGTACATTTTGGCAAAACCGTTTGTTATCCTCTGCTTTAGTTCTTTTTTGCTTGGACACCAAGTTATGAACCCTACTTCATCCTGAGCTTTTGTATGTTGTGTTCTATTTTTTTTTGGTTTTTGTAACAGCCGAGTTCTTGGGACTACCGTACGTGCCGCCTTACTTTGGTTCCCAAAACGTGAGCTTCGAGCAAGGGGTCAATTTTGCTGTGTATGGAGCAACCGCTTTGGATCGTGCGTTTCTTATGGAAAGAGGAATTGTATCTGACTTTACAAATGTTAGTTTAAGTGTTCAACTAAACACTTTCAAGCAAATTTTACCTAACCTATGTGCCTCGTCCTCTCGTGGTTAGCAACGTTTACCCTTGTTATTTTCCTGATGTAAGGTCGCTTCTGATGGTTTAACATTTTTTTACTTTAGATTGCAGAGAGATGCTTGGTGACTCCTTGATACTCATGGGAGAGATTGGAGGAAACGACTATAATTACCCTTTTTTCGAAGGCAAAAGTATCAAAGAAATCAAAGAGCTTACTCCTCTAATCATCAAAGCTATTTCTGAAGCAATTGTGGTAACATAATTTTTTAAAAAATTTCCCACCGACGCAATCAAATAAATTTTTTTAATAATTCAATATTTAACTAACAAATCTACAGGATTTGATCGATTTGGGAGGCAAAACATTTCTGGTGCCAGGATCTTTTCCAGCTGGATGTAGCACTGCCTTTCTTACTCTATTTCAAACCGCAAAAGAAGGAGATTACGATCCTCTTACAGGTTGTCTCCCATGGCTCAACGACTTCGGAAAGTACCACGATGACCAGCTCAAGACAGAACTTAACCGACTCCGAAAACTTTACCCTAATGTCAACATTATTTATGCCGACTACTACTACTCTATGTATCGGTTTTTCCAAGAACCAACCAAATACGGTCCGTGCGTCTTTACTACTATGTTTTCAACCCTCACGGTTTGATTATTTAACTGATGGTTCTATGGATACATTTTTTTAGGGTTTAAGAACAGACCTTTGGGTGCTTGTTGTGGAGTGGGAGGTAAATACAACTTCACTATTGGTAAAGAGTGTGGATACGAAGTTGTTGGGTATTGTCAAAATCCGTCTGAGTATATTAATTGGGACGGCTATCATTTAACTGAAGCCACGTACCAGAAGATGGCTCATGGCATACTCAACGGTCCCTATGCAACTCCTGCGTTCGACTGGTCCTGCCTTGGCTCTGCATCAGTGGATAACGAATCTTCCTTCGGTAGTTGAAAGTCATATGTGATTTGTCAGTGCAAATTCTTTCAGCATTTTGAAAAAAATTTACCGAAACAAATTGTCTACAAATATATATTATGTCACTATTAAATTAAATTTTTTTTCTTATTACTGTAGATTTTCTACATTTTAAAATTATTCATTTTTGATGAAACAGACGAACTCAGAACTTATAACTGGTTTACTGATGTGATATATAAGCATACAAACTATAAAATATAAACCCTAGATTTTGCTATTTTAGTTCAAATCATATGTTCATTACATAATTTCACAAAAAATGGAGCACAATTTAAACACATTAAAGTAATATAAAAATAATGTAAATATTGTTAAATGTATGAAGGTTGGACTGAAAAACATTCCAATGGGCAAAAACTTTTTTTAAAAAATGATTAAAAGAACCTCAAATTTTCAAAAAATCAAATGATATTAGAATGAAACCATATAATATATTCTTATCTTGGGTATGGGGAAATGTATGAACTTTGGTCCAAAATCTTCTATCATCAAATTGTATTTTTCTACATCCGGGACAACCCATCCCGTGTATTTAATTGGGTAGTTGAAGTAAACAAATACAACCCATAAGTGCTGTTTTTGGAAGTTTGGTATGTTTCTAGAAAAAAAATCACATTCCACATGTTACGAAAGTCTCGCATAATTAGTTTTATAGAATCCGACAAAATGCCAGAAGAATAGAAGATGTTTTAAGTTTTAGCTAAATTTTATGGTTGATTTCAGTCAAATTTCGGTTACTCCATATTAAAGAGATTTAAGAATCTAACTTTAACGGCTGAATTTGAGATCACCACTCATGTGAGCGTGAGTCAACATAAGATTCCACACTCGCCTGATTTTGTCTTTAGTATCACTTGTAGCATTATGATCGCCCACGACTATTTCGCCTTTTACACCCGTTCACTCAGCCCCTAGATCCACTATGTATGATGGTCGGTATGTTATTTTAAAGACTCAAAGTGGTTGTTTATAGTCTCTGCAATCATCAAATGATTTTTTCCGTGTTCTTGCTTTATTCGCCACAATATTAGAAATCATTATTAGGTAACCTTTAACCCAAGAATTTCTCTACACTACCACATAGCGCAATGTTACATATTTTCTTTGATATTGACCGGATCACTACAATATATAAACATCTTAAATGATCAGATTTCCATGATCAATACTGAATAATTAACAAACACACGGATATAAAAACACTAAACACATACGTCACCACATAAACTCTGGATTTTTTTTATAGTCATTATGAAAACAGAAATTAGCTTAATTTGGAATTTGATATCTTGCTAGCTTATGATATATATGAAACAACATAGTCATTATGAAGTTTAGGTGTAATACATAGGGGAATATAGTTATGAAAACAGAAATTAGCTTAATTTGGAATTTAATGTCTTGTTAGCTTATATATACCCAGGCAACTTAGGCCTCGATTGGTACATCAGATGATAAAGCAGTAGCAGTATGCTGCAGAAGCAGTATGCTACAGAAGCTGTATGCTTTCATTAATTTTTTTAATAAAGTGATTGGCAAAGTATTAGCAGTATACAGTTTTAAAATTGTCAAAATAGTTAATAAAATAATATATTTCTTTTAAAATAATATATATAAAATAATATATTAATAATATACAATTTTATTAAAAATAAGTGATATTCATTATGTAAATTATATTTAAAAATTTAATTTTTTTTTGGATATAACATATTACTCATATATAAAATTATAGTTATAAATTAATTAATTATTATTAAATTATAATTATTATTAAATAAATTAATTAATTATAATTTATATATAAATTATTATTATTTATTTTGTTGGTAGAGCACTAAATTACTCATATATAAAATTATCATAAAAGTTAATATATAATTTGTTTATTAGTGTCTAAATAATATGTTTATATCGATAATATATAAATTATATTATGTTATGTTTGTTATTAAAAATAATGAATGATATATGTAATTATATAACTTATATTATATTTTAAATGTGCAATAATTTTCTTTAAAAAAAAATTAATTAAAATTTTTATTTTATTTTTTAAAATAGAAATTTATATTTAATTATAAAAATATTGTTTATATTTTTAAACAAAAATAAATTAGTTATATATAAATATTATTAAGTTTTATATTTTCTATATGCAAATACTCTCTTAAAAGCTCTATATGAGAGCATTGAGCAAAGAGCATTTGGAGATCATTTGCATTTGGTAAATGCTTTTCTAAATGCTTCTTTGCCAAATGTTGATTGGATAATAGAGAACATAATGCTTATGCTAATGCTCTACCAATCAACCCCTTAATTTCACAACAAAACTAGACACTATCATCGTCTACAAAATATTTAGTATAAGGAAATGTGAAACATAAAATGTAAGAATAGAAATTATATAAAAAAGAAAAACTCATATGGCACAATATATAAAGAAAATATGAACATACATGATACCTCGCATCCTTTTGGGGTTCAATATCACTAATTGGTTTTGCAAATCCAAACCAAATCTAGTATTAATGGTTCTTATCATTCTAAATCTATATTCAATTTTGCTGTTATTAGCTCTATGATTTTAAAATTTATTTTAAAGTCATGTTTCATCTAATAATAATGATTTTTTACGATAAGAAAACATTTCTCTTTACATTGATTGAAATTTTCCCTTTCTACCGGTTTTTATATAAAGTCTACTCCGTTAATTCTTTATCGCATTATGGGCATTATGGAATGTCCTAGCTAGCGAGAAGCACCTTTTCCCGAGAGAAAGAACACGGTTCTGTAGAGATTTTAAGGTTATGTGCAATGTTGGGTTAAGGGTTTAATTTTAATCAGGGTATGATTTAATTTTAAGTTGATTATTCTCGCTTCAATTTTTTTTTTTACCTAGCATCAACTTTATATTAACCAGTGAAATGCTGCATGATTTAGACCACACGATTACTTGAACCTCACTTACCAAAAAAAAAAAAGAGATTTAGTACCATCTAAGATCAGTGCTTGGATTCTACACTATCCAATCTTATTATAATTTTACCCCCACTAAACACAAATTCCTTCTAACACTCAGAAAGAGTTGGTTCTTAAACCTATTAATTAGACCACATGAGACGAAAGTATTATACACCGTAGATGAAAAACACTATCCAAGATTAGAAAGCATGTACATTAAGTTTATATACCCCCTAATAGACGCTGAAGTTAAAACAAAAGTTTTAACCCACTAATACGCTTTTACCGGTGTGTTACTGTTTATCTATGAGTAGTAAAAATAGCTTATTTAATTTTCAAGAAACACAAAACACTTGTAGAAGTATTTAAAAGTGTGTTATCTTTTTTTTTGTCAAAAAAGTGAGTTATCTTTTATGAACTTTTCTGCTTTTCTTTCTTTTTTCTGCTTAAAATTTTCTGCAGTTTTTTTGTAAAAAAGATTTTTTCTGCATTTTTGTAAGATGTTTTTTTTGTCTTTTTGTCAAAAATAATCGGCAATGCTAATGAAAAGGGTAGAGAAGTGGTTTACTTAAAATACAGCTAATTACTACAATTTGTGTTTCAAGTCCAGCTAAGTATGTTGTATTTTTTTTTATCAATGTATGTTGTATTTAACATATAAAAAAATAAACTACGAAGTTAGTTTAAGATTTAGTTTCAAAAAGAAAAAATTAATTTAAAAGAAAATGGAAAGAATCTCATTTTACTCTTTTTTTTTTGCCTGCTGACAAAATCTTAATTAGACTTTCCACATTCCGACAAGACACATAAAATTCAGAAGAGTAACGGTTGCTAATAAAAAAGGTTAAAAGAGTAACGGTTGCAAAAATATAAGTATATAAATTGTCTAAAGCGTAGATATTCTTGTCAGTCAGCGAGTTGCTGTCACAAGATATGAAATACCGACTTATTGGGTGAATGAATCCATTGGTTACAACACGTGTAACAATCATTTCTTCTTGTCAACATCTTCCGTATATTTTCCATGCTTTACCATAACATATATATTTTTACTTTCTTTTTTGCTAAATTGGTTCAATCTTTTTGTTTTTGGTTTTACTGAGATTTGGTGCAATCTTACTTTACTCTTACAAAAACCCTTCAATAACATTAGGATTTTGAGAAGAAAAAACAAAATTACAGAAATGGAACATTTCTTTTTATTTTACTTTCTAACAAAAACAAAAGAAACATATCTATTCTAAGTCAAGATATTTATTTCACCAACTAGTCAGTTGTCAATTATCATCTTTCTAGCTTGGGATTATATTAGTCTTAAATTTGAACTATATAATTGTATATTGTATTTTACTTTTTCTTAAATAGAATTTTGTATTTTTATTAATTCATAAATATCTTTGTCAATGCAACTATTTTTTTAAGGTTACAAAAATAATTAGTTGTTATCTAATGGGTATTTAAGAATAAATGTTTTTTCATACATGTCGTATAATAGCTAAATATAAAACATTAGCAGGGTATTAAATGAAATAAATAACAAATAAATATTTTATATGAAAAATGCAGTATGCCTTATCAATAGTGCAAGTATAAACATTTTAGATTAGTATAGCTAATACTTTTTATGAAAATTTAGTAACCTTTGAATTTGAATGACATAAAAATATCTTATTTAACAAATAACCAATATAATATAATATAATATATTTTATTTTTAAAAATTCACAATATTCTAATATTTTATCTATCAAACGTGATACGTCAATTTATTATTAACTTATCCACGGTCATTATATAGAAGGATTAATTAATATAAGGCAGCGTCATTTGATCTAATGTACTAAAGATTATAGTGAATTTTGTTTTATTTTTATGAAAGTGAATTTTACTTTATAAGTCAAACTACCCGTGGTAACTGGTATGATGTCTTCACACAAAAAAAAAATCAGAAGAATAAGTTGGTATGCACTGTTGGTAGT